GTATGTTAACATACCATTAGATAGCGCTTTAATATTTAGAGCCCATTTGGTATTGAAAGAAGAGAGGTAAGATGAAAGTTTAGGCCTTACTGTTTTGCTTTTTTAGGGGGTGGGGAGTTGAAAAATATTTTTTCCTAGATTAACAGCAGTTATTGATTAATAAAGGTATTAAACTTTTGCTAAGTGGCAGCTGAAAATCTGGATTTTAACTGTCTTTCTTAATACACATAAGCTCAATGGTCTGTGAAAATAAAATCAAAATGTAGGCAATAGATTGATTTTTAGGTATTCTAATTTACTATTCCAATAAGACAATAGTGGAAATACTTATTTTATTTAAGATATGTCAGTGATTATGTATAATGCAACACATATAAAATGAAATGTTTATTTTCACTATCATCTTGATCTTCTTGTTGAAAAATTGATAAATTTAATGTTTTAGTACTTAATAGGATTATAAAAAGACCTTTTAAAAATTCCAGTTTCTTGACATAAGTACTTTTCTTGTAAATCTTCCCTATTCCCTAATTTTATTTCATCTAGATAAAGTTGCATCTTCTTTGTAAGTCAGGAGGCAGTGGTGAACCTTCAGCTAATTGGAAACTGGAGGGATAAAGTTGCATCTTCTTTGTAAGTCAGAAGGCAGTGGTGAACCTTCAGCTAATTGGAAACTGGAGGGTAAATTTTGATTATTTTATTTATAATTACAATTATTAATTAAAATTAAAAATGTAACACTTCCATTCTTTTAAGCTATATCATAATTATCTATTGTATGTTAGTTTGGTTTCTGTTGACACAGGTTAAAGCTGTAGATCGTACATTAAATATTCACACTTTTAAATTATCTATTACAAAAATACATACAATTTCTGATAGTTTACCACCAGTCTCTGTCCATTATAAATTTAAAATCAGGAATGTACAGTTTAGTATTGATGTAATTATAATCAGTAGGAATATTGATTCTACTATTTATCACAGTACTGTTATTCAGGGTCTTATATCTAACAGTTGGTGAATTAAACTACATATTTTAAATTCTATATATATTAATACAACTAAAGAACTTCCACTATAAACAGGAAGGTAAGAATTCACAATAAAGTGAGTTGTGAACTGTTGTATTATAATCAGAGTGAAGTTTTTCTTTAGTACGAGTTTGTTTAAGTTGTGAACTGTGGTATCATGGGTGGTGATTTTATTTACGTTTATAGATATATCTCTTAATGTAGAATAAATTGACTAAATTAAAACTTTTTTCTACTTTTATTTTGTGCAGGCAGACGCTCTTCGTTAGACAATAAATATCATGTTACAATGGAATTAGGCTAAGACAAAATCATTGAAAGGCAAGACAATAAAAAGGTTCTAATTACACACGTTCTCCACGTTCAAAAATATCAACAGAAAAGGCAGATGGAAAAATTTAAGTGTAGCTCACTCACTCAACAGACAGGCTTAGTCACCATAGGGCCAGTCTTCAGTTTTCTTACCTCTGACCATATGTTAACAGTGCTGTTAAACAAAAGGTGTATCACTAACATTCAACTACTGTCATCTTGTGTTAATAAGTAACTAGAAGGTCTGTCACTAACATTCAACTACTGTCATATTGTGTTACTAAGTAACTAGAAGGTCTGCCACAAACATTCAGTTACTATCATCTTGTGTTACTAAGTAACCTAGAAGGTCTATCACAAACATTCAACTACTGTCATCTTGTGTTACTAAGTAACTAGAAGGTCTGTCACTAACATTCAACTACTGTCATATTGTGTTACTAAG